ATCAGAACCGAGAGAAAGTGCCAGCACCTACCAGGCCGCAGGGGCCGAGGTTAGCCAAGCTCTGACATTGCATGTGCATACAGACATTCGAGCTCAGAATGGTGAGAGCAGCCCTACACGAAGCCTGGGCCAACACCCTTCTGAGACGGGTAACCAATCAGTTATCGAGTGAAAGGCACTACCCATGCTCCGTTGCCGGTTGGCGTCCGTGGGCGGGGCTTTCATCGGAGGAGAGTACCAAGCACACACACACGCACACAAGTCTGGTACCTGTCATCAAAACTGAGCTGCACACTATTCACCATGCCCCGGTCATTGTCTTGAAAAGCCATGATCCAGTAGCCAGCAAAACTGGAAAATTCGTAGGGTCGTTTCAACAGCTGAACCCGCACAGTGCCATTTTTGAATCCAAAGATTACACGCCGTCCATTAGTTGAGAACTTCCAGGAGCGCAGAGGTGACCAATTCGAGTCCCGAACTCTGGCTACTTGGGCCGGCTTCAACAACTTCACACGCTGCAACACCTTCTCGAGGGCTGAATGTGGAAGATCAAAGTCCACCTCACCCTTCCTGCGGCGTCTCGCAATTTCCTCCTTCCTCGCCTCCTCCTCCTTCTTCTCTTCCTCTGTCATGGGCGGCGGAGGATCCAGTTTTGTAAGCGGACATTTGTACAGGTAGCCCGCGTCAAAGTCATCCTAAATTAGATTACAGAATGTGGCATTACAGATGAAAAATAAGTTCATCAGGCACGAAATTCTCTGAAGCGTTCAAAATGTGGGTGAGCAGCGTTTAATTGAAGTGCCTTTGAGAGCCTAACACGCCACACCTCCCACAAAGGCAATAGCTGAAGGTCCAAGCAGGTTTTTCCCACCTTCTGCGTTTACAGCACGCACCTGTTAGGGCAATGACTCAATATTCGGTTTCAGGGCGTCACCCTGTGGTTTTCAGTATATGAGTAGTCACCAACTGATAGCTTAAAAAATTACACTAGAATTTATAACGGGAGCATGGATCAACGTCTTCTGGGATCGACGTCAACATTATCAAGTTAGTTACTAGCACTCAGTAGTGATAAGATCCGATTAAAACCTCAAATGGGTGATTAACACAAATTTACTGCTTCCCTCTCCCCCAAAGGTCTCCCATGTGGTCCGCACGATACGCTTTCCAAAAATTCTAGACGGGCATCATTTGTGAACTCAAAGTGATGAATTATTTTACCGCACTCATCTGTTCTCTTCTTCGTCTTTTAGCCTCCTTCAATAACTCATGACTGGCCTTCTCTTGAAGTCTTATGATATTTACATTGGAGTTGTGTACTCTGATCTATCCAGACAATAGCAAACATAGGCCGGAAATGACTACTTCTGTTTGCCCGTTTTCATCTGCAAAAATGTCCCACTAGTCTACACAAAGATACTTCTTTTGTAGATAAACTGTGTTTTTAATGGGTCTTTTGAGTACAATTACGCGACTGATTATGCTGCACAGCAGTGGCCTTGTTCACGAAAACGGTAAAGAACTATTATGGGTTCTCCAAAGTGGGCGCGAAGCGCGCTACACTCCAATACGGGCACCTGTTTTTAGGCGGTAGAACGGGTCGGTCATACTCGGGGACAAATCAGTGTGCAATTATCATGTAAATTAAGAAAGTTACACGTTTAAGTTTTAGAGCGTTCGCTGACCTTTGGCGAGGTACTGAGGTACATCTTACTATCATCACTAACCCCTACTGGACCAACGGCGAGCGCGTGTATGTCGGGAGGTGTTCGTTGACCTTGGGCGAGGACACTGAGGTACATTTTTTATTAGCATCGCCAATCCCAACTTAATTAACCTCGGGCGAGCAAAAATTGGAAGATTGTGGAAATTCACCCTACTTAAAATGTGTAATTAGGTGATTATTCCCATGGTTAATTTGAAAAGCCAGTTCGCCTAGTAAGCAGACTTAAGCGGTTATTGTACATGTTGGCCGTCCGAGGACCCCTCTGCAGTTCAATATCATCACCAATCCCCACTGAACTAACGGCTAGCGCACGAAAATTAGATTAGTGTGGAAAATTCACCCTACTTGAAATTTTTAACTAAGCGGTTATTGTACATGTTGGCCTTCCAAGCCTCCTCTATAGTTCCCTGCTACAGAAACTACATCATCTTCATGTTGATTAATTACCTTGATATCCGACAAGCTCTGATTCTCTGAAATCTTGCCTACTTTCCTTAAATAGGTTGACCTGAACATGCATTTTTTCTTAGTAAGACGCCTTCTGAGCATTAAATCTATTCAAACACTCAGAATAACAAGACCAAGTGTACGCTAAGGCTACCAACTGCAACTTCGATCATGCGTTTGCATGAGTTAGGTCACGCACATTAAAGATTAAGAATACCAACGTAAGGGCAAATATTTCAACTAAATTGACGATGAAAGGCACTAGTTTGCTAAAAGGGAATATTCATGCTCATTCCTTGTTTTTGTTCTTTTTCGCTGATGACGGGCTCTTGTGCGGACCCAGGTATTCGACTGAATCAGTTTTTCATCCAGATTTGCGGACAGCCTTTCTCTTCTTATCCAAAATGAAAAAGGGTGTTCGAACGGTACTGTTTTTAGAAGCTCTATATAGGCAGCAAGTAGCGGGTTGTTCTGGGGTAACGATTACACTTAACTAAATTGCCTCTGCTGTTTGAAACTCTCTCATTACAAGTTGAGGTGTGCAAAATATATCCATGATAAATAAACGCAATATAATTTTAGAGAATCAACATCAAATTTATATAATTTATCCCATACTTTTACTTTCTAGGGAGACTTGAAGGGGGAGAAAAGGGAAGCTAAACATGGTGTATCCAGCTTTTTATCGTTACGGGTTAGACTAGGCAAGGATGAGAATTCCGAGCATTATTGCGATTGTTTGCTGGAGTATCCTGATGTTAGAAGAGTGTTTCATGCATCCATCATCCGCATTTGCCACTGGAGGTCCCTTTGCCCGGTCAACATGCGAGCAAGACTACGCAACGGTAGAACCAATAACGTCCTCTTATTTGGGCTGATCTAATTACCCAGGGCAGATGTTCTACCCAATTTGAGTGAGTTTCCTTTCAGTATCTTGGAGTTAAGCGAAAGTTGCAGTTTTAGTGTGCTTGGACCGATTAAATGTTGTTAGAATTCACATCCAATCAAGTATCGACTAGCCTTGATAACAGTTATTCTTGTTTCGTCAACTGCTGCTGACTGGTCGTGTTCAAATATTCTATCATCTTAGACGTCTTTAGTTAGTCCTATTTGTCAACATAGCGTACTTTTGTCAGTCGTTCTCAAAGACACTAACCTCTATTGATAATAAGATATACGGTTACTAATCGAGGAAGCCAAAATCTACAGATTAGTTTTCGATGGTATAACAAACTGGATTCGCTAAATAGCAGTGGGTCTTTAGAGGACGGGAAAACAAAGTTAAATATATGCCAAACAATTACCAGAGATATCCAGACAGAACTGTTGTCTTTCGTGTCGAGCATGCATTGAATGATGGGTGAGGGAACTTCAGGTATAATTGGAACCATCAAAGCTATTTCTTCTTCCAGTTTTTGTAGCATGCGCCTTTCCTCTGCAGTCACAAAAAACGGGTAATTAGACACAATGCAATACGGTAACTTGCAATCTACATAAGAACTGAAAAAATGCCTTTTCTTCTTAAACCCAGACTATAGAAGCATCAAATCCGCTTAGCCATACACTTTTTCCCGGTAGCATGCACGCTATCCGGCTATGCAGGTGTCATAGTTTCGCACTTTGAACCAACGCGTGGAAAGTAACTGCTACTAACTACAAGTAAGTCCTGCGCAAAGTTTGTAGATTAAAGCATTGGACTGGACTGCCCTGCTCTGGCTGCTCTGTCTGAATAATTTCTACATGACAATTGGACTAAACATGCATGAAAATTTTTCGTACATTTTCAGACATCTTGCTGGACAAGCAATCTGGAATTATTAAAAAGTATGATTTTCCATTGAAATATTTTAATTACTCGACGATAATTCCCATGAAAACATTTTAGGAGTTGAGTTCGGCAAACATCCGTTTTCGATTATTTGTCCTCAGGCCTGTGAGGGTAGGTTAGAACACGTTTACACGGCTCATGAACAAAAAGTATGCGAGGAGAGGTTTGAGCGTGTTCAGCTATCAAGGGTTATAGCTTAGTCCTATCAGGGGCTGAGAGAGGGACAGGGAGAGGGGGAAAGGGACGGGGTATCCGACATTTAGCTATGTTTTGACTTTGTCGCTACATCGTGACGTGGCAGAAAGTGTGAACACGAATGTTGTATTCGGCTTCGGCCAGCGGAAACTTAGGACCTCTATAAACACTAACTATGAGCACAAAGTTAGATTGGTTAGCCGTATAGTCATTGCCTCTGCCGTCGAAAGTATCTGCTGACGCAGGAGTTTGCAGAGTTTCGGCGGCACTTTATAGATAACTCGTTAGGCTTGGCTGACGTCCACTCGATGATCGCTGTCAACCAAGTGAGCCACAGTTGCGCTAGAAATTGACGTGACCCTGCCTTGCTTTAGCCAGACAGAATGGTGCCCTCGTATCAGCTAAAATAGCCGTCTAGTTAACAACCAATGTAACTCCTGACCTCTGAAGGTCCTCAAACCTCTCCCAAATACCTCCTGTCTGGTAGCTGTTCAAACTGTGATACACTACTCAACTTTATAAAAATGTAAAGACCTCATGAGGAATAATCAAAAGCGTACGTCCGGTCCAGTAGTCGCTCCCGTTCATGCCTACTTTCCCCATTGCACATCAGCGTACTTTCTCAAGAAGTTGGGTTTGACGAACATACACTTTTGATTAATAATTATCAGGCCTCTAAAGTTGCATAAGGGAGGGTAGAGTACCAAAAGTTTAGACAGCGCATAAACAGGAGGTATAGGGGGGGGAGGGGAGAGGATGCTGAGAGGTCAGGGGTTATAGTCTAGTCCTATCAGAGGCTTAGAGGGGGTAGATGGGAGGATAAGGAGGGACCTGACAATTAGCTTCGTCTCTAAATCTTCGTTGTAACGCGACGTGACAGGTGTGAACCACCTTGCTGGACTCATTTTGAACCTGAAGAGCGTTAGGTTCGGTATAAAAACTTTAGGCTGGCCCAAGGTTGGATTGTTTAATCGTATGACTACTGCGCTACCGTCGCACGTATCCGCTATTTTTTCTAACTTATCTTTAAAAAACAATTTTATTATTTTGTCAAAATTTAAAAAAACAGCAATTTAACAACCTGCTGCCATCCCGGACAAAACGCCCCTCAGAATAAACCTCCAAAGGAGGGGGGAGGTAACGAAAGCACAATTTTCAGTTATGAAGCACTTGGACTTGCTTTGCAAATTCAAGCAGCATTCCTCCCTACTTACCGCTCTCAGCCTGAAGGATATCCTCGTCGGTTAACAGTCCTTTGCGCCTGGCCTCTTCGATTTTCTCCGCGCGAGCCTTCTTTTCCTGCTCGAACTTGGCGCGCTTTTCCGCGGCTTCTTCTCTTACCCTCATTTCGCCAGCAACACTTTGCATCTGGAAACCGCTGAGGGGTTCAACATCAAACAGCTCAAAAGTGCCCTTTTCCTTCGCTTTGCGATTTGGACACTTGACCTGAACAGGGGAACATTTAAAAGATCGGTGCAAACCAGTGCGAAAAAATTGGTTAATATGGAAATACCACCAACCGCCCGCGCAACTACCCTGTCAAATATGCTGCTCAAACTGCAAAATGAACGAGCTAGTTTTAACCTACAAACATAATCGAAAAATTTGGGGAGGGGAGGGATGCCGTCCCAAACCAGCAATCCCATGCTAGAGACCTGCCATTAATTCGATTTCACATGGACACGGTGAGGGAATGGCCTGTTACCCCACTGGTTTGGTGATCAATAACTAACTACTTATTTTATTTAAGTAGGGGTGGTTTACCGCAGTTGGCTTTGCAATAAGTCGTGAAAGGGGGTTAGGCTTTAGGGTTGTGGTTATAATTTCTAGGTTAGGTTCAGGAGTTAAAGCGTC